CACCACCCCGTTTCTTCGCCATCTCATTTTTGCGGCGTAGATGCTTCCTCCGTCTTGTAGGCTAGGATAAACGTCAAGCCGGGATCCCAAAACGTCAATTTAGCCATTAAAACTTTAACTTATCAACTGTTCCACGCAATTACGCTTACGACACTTAGCTCGTTATCAAACCCTCACTCGGAAGCAAAAAACAGAACTTTACTAATATTTCCCCAATATGGACCTCCCGCTAGTTAAGTTTACTAACATACACGTTTTTCACGACGTGATCACTCTAAGATGCCACCAACGAAAAAAAAAAAGAGAAACGACACTAAGACAACGTTAAAGTTTATTTCATCATTCATGTACATCATGGAATGATAGACCACGACCCAACAATGTAAAGACGCTTCGAAACGTTTTCGGTAGAATTTATAGAGCGCTTTCACTCACGTGGCCAGCAGTCACAATTTTACTGAGCAAATGAAAATCTTACACGACAAAAGAGTTCAACTCCTACAAGATTGGTTTAGGACACCAATATGGCCGCTGTTTTATTGTTTTGGTACACCGATATGGCTGCCGTGACGTCATGTGAAAGCACTCTATAAACTCATCCGACGAGATTTCGATTCCTATCAGTCGAACGAAGATGGCGCGCGCACTACCGAGCAGTCTGACAAGCAAAGTCGTTACCAGGGTCAACTTTCTTTGAGAGACCTGGAAGCGAGGTTGCTCTGAGAACGAATGAGTCGGGTTTCTTAGCAACGTCACTGACCTAAAAGCAAAACGGCTCGGCCTATTCTCACGGTTCCACCAAGCAGGATTTAAGGCATGACAATATCGTGTCCGCTACCGCGGGTTAAAATTCGTACAACATTAATGACGTGAACTAATGCGGACAGGAATTCACAATGACTAAATGCCCCGGACAACTCGAATTCACGTCTTTCTCACTCCCTATTTTTAACTAACTCATCAGCTTCCAGAAAAGTTTTCCATTTTTGCTGTTTCAGCAAAAAAATAATAATGAAAAAAAAAAACTCTTCTTATGAAGCCCTTTCCTCGGAGACCGACCCTATCATCGAGGGATGTTTTCTTTTCGGAACGAGTTTCTAAGACATTAAAGGAAGAGTTGGTGGAGAGAGACCCAATGTTTCGGTGACATATTTCTGTGCTTTTGCTGCCTCGCGGAGTGAAAACGTCTGTGCAAGCTCTGTTTCCGTTCTCACCAGAGCAATGGCTTTGTTGAACAGCTCGATTGCTCGGTCCAAGTTCCCCCTGAAGCAACGTAAAGACAAAAGAGTACTGACGGTTATTCGATGTACAGTTACCGTCATCACGCATCATTCAAAACATAGTGACAAACAAAATCTCCTGCCCTCACGCGACCGATTACGTGACAAATAAAGAGAACCAACCAGGATCGAGAATTTTGTTCATTTATAGAGATAATAACAATCATAAAAGTCGAGAACTTGTCCCAAAGAAATTACAAATTAAACTCTTTAGATTTACGAAGAGTTGTGAACTACTAGTTCACAGAGGTCTGTTCCAGCCCACAAGCCATAATGGCACGCCTATGTTGTTCCGGGTTTTGTAACATGAAGTGACTAGGAGTATTACTTATACTACTACTACTACTAATAATGATAAACTAATATTTCAAGAGGAGGCCTCCAATCACCTAGAGGTGGTTTTCAGGAGGGTACTCTTAAAAATAAAAGTCTAGAATATACATTAAATGTCTAAAATAAAAAAGAAATAAAAGCTAAAAACGTGATACTAAAACTAAGGTTTAAAACTAGAACTAGGATTAAAAATGTACTGCTAATTATAACTAAGGTTAAAAATGGTTAAGTAAAAACTGTTTCAGTTTGTACTACCCCGTCCACCTGGATCAGTAGGATGTTGGTCTATCGCAGGTTCCCCTCACCCCAGCCCCCCTCCCCAGGATGCCCTAAAAGTTCGCATACAGCTGCGTAAAAAGAAGTTCTATTAAAGTAAACGAAGGACACTACAGATCGCGGCTCGGTTGGTTTGACGGTTATTCCCACTAATGAAGGGAAACCAAAAGTTATGGACTTCTACACTGAACAGTAACACTGCTCCCCAAACGGTCAATTTTGACTGATCTTTCACTAGGCATCGCCCCTGGCGTCACCGTCGTCATTGCCTAATTAAGGTGCATATTTAAACCCCCTACTCTCTTCCAATCCCTTGCAAGAGACTCGATCCTGACCTTTATAACATATTCTTCGACTCTAATTCAACAGGAGTCAAAAAATTACCTTTGAACTTCAAGCGTAGCTAGGGTTTCGTAGGCGAAGTCGCATTTCTCATCGATCACTAAAGCTTCGTCAACTAACTCAACTGCTTTCTCCACGTCTTGTCGTGACTGCAGCATCAGCATGCTGCAAATGAAAAAAAAAAAAAAAAGATCAAAACCTCTCTTCTCCTTACAATATCAATAGACCGCGAAGCAGACAGGTATGGAGAAAACAGAAAATCATCAACCAGATATGTAGATTGTTGAGATAAGTGATACTGACCCTTTGTAAACTCGGTGGACAGGGTTTTGCGGCTCTAGTCTTATCGCAATGTCAAAATGCTCCTCTGCTTTAGGGAATTGCTGCATTTCCTGAAGCACCTGTGATGAATTTGAAGAAGACGTGAGATGAAACAACATAATTAAGATTGGCAAGATGAACTAAACCTTGCCTGACACAAACCTGCGCATAGAGACTATGTGCATCCGCTGACTCAGGATACTTCTCCACTGTTTTCTGTAGCATATCCACGGCCCCGTGCGCCAAGATCGGAGACTGCTGAAGGGCAGCGGACTTGTAAATACAATACGCCAACTGAATCCTTGCGGGGATGAAGCTGTCGTTCAGAGATATGCACTTCTCAAAATCTTCTTTGGCCTCGTGAAGGTTCTCGGAGAGGAAACGGATCTGCAAGTAACAGATGAAAGCTCATGAAAATATTAAGGTGTGATTTAAAACCTAAGATGTGGGTTCAAATTCAATTTTGGTCAAAAGGCTTTTTTGTTGTACTTATCCTTGTCCACAGACGTTTATTTTTTTGTTACTAGTTATTTTTCTTCGAGGTGCTAGAAAGCGAACGCGGAGCGTGAGGAAGGATATTTTTGTGTTCCGGCTTTTTCAAATCCCCTGCGGCTAACAATTTCTCTTGCGATCTCGACGAACTCGAGACAAAAACGAGGGTCTTGAGGACACACAACGGGAGGGGATTAGGAACAAGTTATTGGTTGGGACTGTGGTAGTAGTAGCAGTGCTTATGGTTCTTAGGAAATCACGTCACAATATTCACGAAACATGACGACATGGAACACAAGACACACTTCAAACCGTCAAAATGAACATTAGAGGTTTGGTAGCATGCAGTAAACGATTAACAATTATTGAACGAGGTTGAGCAAAATATCGCGATTTGACAGTGGCGAGCAGATCAATAATTTGTGGTAGTTATTTGCAGGTCATGTGGTGGGTTCTCGGACAATGAAAAGGAAGGCAAAAATGCATCGTACGATGATGTAATATAGCCATAAGAAAGTATCTTCTGTTTATAATTTGAGAGCTTAATCAAATCTAACACAACGGGAATATACATGTATTTGGGAGATGTGGGTTATTGTCAGAGAGCTGTTCGGATTCGAAGTGTTAAGTAAAGACTTATTATAACTAGTTTTTTTTTTCAGGGGGGCTTCTTTCTTGTGGGAGGGGATTTTCTTGGTTTTAGGGAGGGGGTCATTGCCAGCAGCTTTAAGCCCCGGCCAAACGATCGCAACATTTCAACCCAACACGTCGCAACATTGTTGGGCGCAACATGTTGCGCGCATTTGGCCACCCTGTTGCGACATGCTACGTGTTGTTGGCTCAAATTTGAAAATGATTAAACTTTTCATGCAGCATTTGTGGTTGTTGCATGACGTTGTAGTCGTTTGACCAGGTTCGTGCAACAATGTTGCGCCCAGGCATGCGCACTAGTTCGATTTTCAATACCCAACATGTCGCAACACGTCGCAACACGCCGAAACAGGGTGCTAAACGCGCGCAACATGTTGCGCCCAAGAATGTTGCGATATGTTACGTTCAAATGTTGCGATCGTTTGGCCGGGGCTTTAGGTATGCTTAAACTCCTCTATAAGATATTTATTTCAATCTCCGGACAGTTAAAGGTTTACCTACCTGACCTCTGTGATGATAAATATCGGAGTTATCAGGGTCGAGCGACACGGCCTTGCTGAAGTCTTGAAAACATTCCATAACATTACCAGCCTGAAGCTGCATGCTTCCGCGTTTGATCAAACAGTTCACTTTCAGCTAAAATGAAAAGGAAAATGCATTAGTATGCTGGTAGAATTCTACTGTAGATAGAAACATGGTACATGTTTTCTGTTTCTTTAAGACTAGTGAAAGTTTTGCAGAACTGGAAACACTCGGCTGTGGCTAGTGATCCCACATAAAAAATTATCGTTCTCTCAAACTTTATTACACTCATGTTTGTATAACTCCGTAAAAAAAAAAACTTAATCTCAGTCCCTTGGCCGGGACGAAACGAAAGCACTGCGTCAGACTAGCCACGTGCAATGTCTATTATTACAAGTTACTGTAAATTTTTATTGTCACTAAAAAAATGTACAAAAACATTTCAAGTGTTCATTGTTCGAGTGTTCTCACTGTAAATTCAAATGCATTTTAATAGAGGAACAGTCACAATAAACATGTGCTGTAGCAGTTGTTAATGCACAGTCTACCTTGGTCGATGCTTGTCCATCTTCAGCATTTATCACTTGTGTCAAGTCACGAATAGCTTCATCCACTTTTGATATCAAGGTGTAGAGAGTCCCTCTTAATGCAAGAGCTTTTATGTAGAGTGGCCCAGGTCCTACAACACAGCAGTATTAATTATAAACCAAGGAGTTTGTGTTAAACTCATTCACCAATATCATATACGACCACAACAACGAGCTTCTCTAATTTGCAGTCTTCCCCACCCAGGTTTTGAGAGTAGTGAATGTTTGCTTGGATTTCACAGCTCAAATTCTGAGCAAGTCTAGCATAGACTGTGTGCAGATGTCTCCCATTTTCGTGGAAACCAAGGAAAGTACATGTATCATATTCTCATCAGAAGTTTTCATTTTTTGCTATGAATGGTGGAGTGCACTGCTTAAGAGTGATAAAGCAATCAGATTTAGCAATGCTAAGAACAACTGTAGAATCACACTGAAAAAATAAGCGGAACTCATTAAAAAGTAAGGGTGTGCTCCACAAACCTTTTTCAATTTGTTGGGTGCACAAGTCCACTATGTTATCATATTTCTTTTCTTTCATTTGTTTAACAGCCTCAAGAAACGGTGAATCTTCGGGCAAATCCTCCTCAGAATGAATTTCTAATGTGTCATCTAAAACAAAACAGAATAAATGCATGTAATATTATTCTGGCAGGCAGTTCAAAGTGTGAACAAAAGTTAGACTGAACAGCTGAGAATGCTGTCACAGGTGTCTTGCAGGTTCACGTAGTCACAAGAGGAAAGGTCCCCAAGGCTGTGGAGTCTGAGCCCAAAAGTTCCTATCCATGAAATCCTGGGTGCCCAGCGCTTAAGCTATATGAAAACATCCAAATGCAAAAATTAGTCACCTGTGGCACCCAGGCGCTTCTAGGACTAGAACACAGCCCTGGTCTCCCTTTAAAAGTTCTGTTGAGATTCGATCTGTACACAGTTATATTCCCTCAGTACTGGTAAATGTGAGTGGTAATTCCTGAGCATTGCGTGTCTCTATTTAGTTGGCAGCATATAGCATTTTGTTGAAGTACAGGTAATGACGCGACAGAGCAAAAACAAAGACAAAATCCACAGGGCAGATTTGAACCAAGGCCACTGAGAAAGAAATATTGCTCAAAAACTCTACACAAAACTTGATCCTGATTGAGCTGCTGGGCCATCAAAAGTCATAAACCTTGCTCAGTTATGTTCAACTTTACTTCACACCTCACAAATATCACAAAAGTGATGTAACCCTCCTTATCAGAATAATCCTCTCTTCGTGAAGCATAAATATGTTATTCAAAATTCACTTAATGGCATGGTGAGCGTACAGTGATTACTATGAAAGAAAAAAAATGAAATACCTAAAATAACATTTAAGGTATGAAATGCAATCACTGCAAGTTCTTTGTACCTTACCATGACAAAAAGATTCCAAATAAGCTTTAGTATATGTTGGCGAAGGTAAACTTGGTTCTCTGTTCTGTATTTCAAGAAAAAAAAGTGTAATGAGAACAAGTTCAATTTTATTCTCCAGTATATACTCACCTAATATAAGTCAGAAATAAAGAGCTTGTAAGAATGAACAAAATATATATATTTATATNCAAATATCACAAAATTGATGTAACCCTCCTTATCAGAATAATCCTCTCTTCGTGAAGCATACATATGTTATTTAAAATTCTACTTAATGGCATGGTGAGCATACAGTGATTACTATAAAAGAAAAAAAATGAAATACCTAAAATAACATTTAAGGTATGAAATGCAATCACGGCAAGTTCTTTGTAACTTACCATGACAAAAAGATTCCAAATAAGCTTTAGTATATGTTGGAGAAGGTAAACTTGGTTCTCTGTTCTGTATTTCAAGAAAAAAAAGTGTAATGAGAACAAGTTCAATTTTATTCTCCAGTATATACTCACCTAATATAAGTCAGAAATAAAGAGCTTGTAAGAATGAACAAAATATATATATTTATATTTATTACAGGTCAAAGTGATAAAAGCAACTTTCTGACAGCTAAAAAACAATAATTTTAAAACCACACAACTGAGTGGTTTTCAATTGATTGTCAAAAGTACTCAGGCAATTACTTTGGTTTTGGTTTTGGTTTCACTATGGCTTGAGATTGACCGAGTTGTCTAATTGGTTAGAAATTGGTCTGGTTTTGGTTTTAAACACTGACAATTAAAAACTGCTTTGTAACGTACATGTATAGACCTACAGGTATTTAATAGTCTGATAGATCTTATGTGCCATCACATACACTTTACTCAAGGTACAAACAACCAAAACAAAGATGACGTTGCAATGGCTGGGCAGATTCATATACATAGTTATGACGTGGAATTGAAAATCTTACAGCCATTAAAGAGTTCCCAATAAATTTCTCAGCCCTGATGTTCATGTATACTTACCTTATAGTATTCTTGAGCTTTCTCTTTTCCGATTTCTTTTAAAACTCTATCTGCTTGCAACATCCAGTTTGGATTGTTAAATCCCTCGATCATGCACACTGCTGTAAGATCTGTAACATGAATGATTATAACATGTTTGACTAGTTACAAATTATATAATATTATAATTTTTAATTGATAGAAAGAACAGTTTGAGTTAGAAGCATAGGTCAGGAAGTCGTTGCTCCAGAAGATAAAAACGTTCTGGCTCCATTTCAGTGTTCTGCTTAAAGAATCTCAAACAGTCAAATTATGCTTACCAGTTCAAGTGTACATGTACAGCCTGAACAATAATGTTCACAAGTTTTGCTGCTTAATTTTTCTCACTTTTTTGCTTTTTTTTTTGCATGCTGATCAATGACAAAATTTTTTTTGGACCTCGAATCTTTGTTGCAGTATAACAACTAGCCACAGTAAACATAAAATTATAGAACATACAAAACGTGGAGGTTAACAATTTGCAGTTATTTACAAAATTGCGTCTCTTTGATTCTTAAAAAGGACACTCAGTTACCTTGAAGGCACTCTTCTTTCTTGCCAAGTTTTTCATATGCTCGTGCCCTCTTCATGAAGGCTTTAGAATATCTCTTGTTCAGTTCTATGGCTAAAAGCAAGACAGGAAAAATAAGCAACCGTAATCAGTGAATTTTGTACCCATGAAGAACTGAACACCACATAATGCTGAGCCAGAGTCTGCAATACACACTGTTTATTATATGGCTTTGGCTTGTGGCCGATATAACGCGCGCTCTGATTGGTTAATTGCCACTGAATTGTAGGGCATTATTCTCCTGTAATGCCCACGGGCCGATTACGGATTATGCAAATTAGGAAGAGCCCGGTTCTGAAAATTCAAGCGCATTGAAGCGATGAAAGCCGATTAAAATC